ATGCGGCGATTAACAGAAGACATGCTGCAGGAGCAGTTGCAGCAGTTTGCAGGGATCATCAGGGCTTGTTTTTGGGTGCATCCGTTTTTACTCTTACGGGAATTGAGGACCCTACAACTCTGGAGGCAATTGCAGTCCGGGAGTTGCTAGCATTGGCTGAAGATCTTTATGAGCACAGGATTTTTGTATCTTCCGATTGCGAGGTGGTTATCGAGGATATCAACAAGGGCAGCGCAGCTACTTATGGTGCTGTTATTCGTGAGATTATAGACCACTCTAAAACTTTTACTTTGTGTTCTTTCAATCACGAATTTAGGAGCTCGAATTTCGAGGCTCACAACTTAGCGAAGCATGCTTTTTCACTTGGGATTGGCCGCTGTGTGTGGTTAGGCAATCCGGGTGACCTTCTTTCGTCCCTGTAAACATTGTGACGACATAATAAAAAGCTTCGCGATGTTGTCTCAAAAAAAAACCAACCATCGCCTATGAAGAAACTCGTGGGTCAGAAGGATCAAACATGTAAACGCCCGAACGAAGACAAATGAAGATCGGATCCAAACTGATCCTACGCAGACCAGCATCAGCCAAATCTCACGAGCTTCGACGAAGACACACCTCCACACGCCATCCAGCAATGCTAGACACACCATTGGAACGTGGATAGAACGTGGGAGACATTATTCCTACTAAGGGATATCACCGTCGCCACACAGCCCCAACCAAGACGCTGAACTTAACGAGAACAAGGATAGGGTCCCACCCGCCGGCGGGGTGCTGAGATCCTCCGCACCTCCATGACCTAAAGGCCATCGAAGATGGGGAGGACCGGCGGCGGCGCCAACGGGCATTTCTTTTCTTTCTGTTTTTCTTCCTTTTGGTATTTCTTTTTCTTTTTCATTATTTCATTCCCCCTTTCCTGTTTTTCGTTTACATTTTATTTTCTATTCCTTTTTAAATAAATGTATTTTTTTACGAATACATGGAATTAGTTCACATATTTTTATACTTGGGATTTTTTTAAATACATGTTGAATACTTTCTAATACACAACAACAAGATCAATATTGGCCACCTTGTCATACACGTTTGACATTTTCTAAAATAATGACAGGCATTTTTCTAATAATGTTGAACATTTTCCAAATAGACGATGAACATTTATTCAAATAACACTGAACTTTTTTTTCTTAGGCACAATGAACATTTTTCTAAATTATAATACAAATTAATTACATGAACTAATACTTTTCCTATTTTTTCTAATTTACCTATATTTTCATAAAATTTGGTTTTTTAAATAAATAGATGGTTTTCATAGATATTTTTTTGTAAAACTTGTTAATACGTGTTGAATTTTTTTTCAAATACATGTTCAATATTTTCAAAATACATATTAAACTTTTTCCAATAATTCTAGCATGATTTAAAAATACATGAAAAATATATTTAGCATGAGGGATAATTCTTAGAAATTTTAATGAAGTTTTAGTGTATTTTAGAAAAATTCTGTTGCAGTTAAAAAATTGTTCAACTATTTTTCGCAAATGTTCATGTAAGTTCACAAAATGCTTATGCCTCTGTATTCCATGCAAAAGAAGTTTTTTGTATTCTAAGAAATGAAAAGGAAAAGGAAGCAACGAAAATGAAGGAAAGGCCCAAAAATTAAATTGAAAACCTACCAAAACCTAGTTAAAAGACCTCGAAAGAGTGACCCACCAAAGGACATTCGATTTGCGACCAACCAGAGAAAAATGTGAGAACAACTTACTAAAGGATACCCATTGTAGGAGCCCTGCAAGGGTCACTTTTTGGGGCTGAGAGCACGCCAAGTGGTGCGTCCAACCACCAGCAGTGTCGTGTGCTGGGTGCTCCTTCACATTTTCATTATTTTTATTTTTCTGTTCACGTTTTCGGGTTTTTAGTTGTTTTTTTTCTTTTTGTTTTTTGGCTGTTCGGTTTACGCCTGCTTTTCCTGATGTTTTGAAGAAAAAAAATCACGAAAATGATCTTTTTTGCATGAAGAAAGTGAGCTTCAATGATCTTTTTTGCATGAAAAAAGTGAGCTTCCACAAGAAATACAGATTTGTTTTGGCGAGAAGCACAACTGTAATTCTTGGAAAGGAAAAAAATCGCAAGTGTTTTTGCTTCATTTTTGTTTTTCCATGAGAAGCACAAATTTCCTACTCGTGTAGGCATAGATCCGCTTTTACCAGAAGCATCATGAACTTTTTTCATGAGATCTTTTTTCTTTCTTGGAAAGCACAAATTCGTTTCTTGTGGAGGCATAATTTTTTTCCGTGAGAAGTAGACCCGTGCTTCTTGAAAAGGAAAATATCACATTTTTTCTTTAATTTTCCCTTTTTCGAGAAAGAAATCTGTGCCTCCATAAGAAACAAATTTATGTCTATTGCGGAAGAAAAACACACGTGTTTTTTTCCTTTTCTAGGAGGCATAATTGTGCCTCTTGCGAACCAAATCCGTGCCTCCATGACAAGTAAATCGGTGCCTTTGGCGGAAACAAATCCGTGCACCCACGAGAAGTAAATTTGTGCCACTCGTGAAAAAATGCATTTTTTTTCTTTTTCAAGAGGCACAAATATACCTCTTGCGGAAGCAAATCCATACCTTCATGAGAAGTAAATCTATGCCTCTCACGGAAGAAATCTTTTTCATTCTTCGAGAGGCACAAATGTGCTTCTCGCGGAACCAAATTCGTGCCTCAACGAGAAGTAAATATGTGTGTCTTGTGAAAAAAAAGAAACACACATTTTTTCTTTTTCGTGAGGCACGATTCGCGGAAATAAATCTGTGCCTTCACGAGAAATGAACATGTTCCTCTCGCAAAAGAAAATAAAGAAAACATGTTTTTTCATGAAAAAATTGTTTTTTCCAAAACCTAAGAGAAAGCAGAGAAAAAACCATAAAAATGATCTAAAAGCCAAAAACACATACGAAAATAAATAAATAAAATTCAGAGAGAGTTCCTAGCAGGCTGTGGCTGAAAGCGCGCTCCCATTAGCGCATAGGGAAAAATAGGGAGGGAAACAGAGCTCCCAGGGAATCGATCCCTGGTGGATTTGATGGTATGGGGTGATTCTAGCCATCGCACCAACATCGTGTTCATGTTAAGACATGAGGCTCGATCAACTTGTGATAAATCATTTTTATTCAAAAAAAAACTTGCGGTAAATCATCTGGATTTTTTGTATTCTCCTTTTTTTTTACCTTTTTCATATACTTTTGTTTTTGGTTTGGTTTACCTTATTTCTTCTTCGTTATCCATGTGTTTTTTTGTCTTTGTATCTTTCATGGTTTTTATCCACCTTTTATTTCTTTCTCATTTCTTCTTCTTTTTTTCTTTGTTTTCTAGTTTTTTCTTGGTTTTCAATATTATTTGTTTTTCTTTGTTTCCTTATTGGTTTTCGTAGTTTTTAATTCTTTTTTGGATTTGTTTTTCAGTTTTTCCATGTTCTTTTTTATCCAATTTTTTTCAATTTTCATTTTTTCCTTTGGTATTCATTCTAATTTTTTGTATATGTCAAGAACAATTTTCTTGTATAATTTCAACATTTTTTTGCAATACATATTTAATTTTTTAATACTTAGTCAACATTTTTTTATAAATATTGTCAATATTTTTCAAATAAAAAATTATCAGTTTTTTGCATACTTGATCAACATTTTTCCTATACACACTTTAAACTTTTTTCAGATGCTTGATCAACTTTTTTCACATACAAGATTAATAGTTTTTTAATACACAGTCAACATTTTTCCTATTAACCTTTAAAATTTTGTAAGTATTTTGTCAACATTTTTCAAATGCAAGATTAACATTTTTTTTGCATGCTTGGTCAACATTTTTTCTATACACATTTAACATTTTCCTAATCATTGATTAACATTTTTTGAAATACTTGTTCAACATTTTTTAAATTCATGATTAATGTTTTCATCTGCATTATCATAATATTTTTCATCATTTTTTAATAGATGGTCAACATTGTTTTCTATACACATTCGACATTTTTCAAACGCTTGATTTACATTTTTCAAATACTGATTTAACATATTTTATAAATACATGATGAACTTTTTTCACACACATTGTATATTTTTTGTATATATTTTCCATATACATGATCAACATTTTTCAAGAGCATGATATACATACATACATACATACATACATA